TAATAAGGCTAACAAATGGAAGTTAAATGGAAATGAACTTTGAGTCAAAGGGTGAAATCATATAATAGTAAAGTATTTTTTTTAAGTAGTGAAATTTTTGTATTTTTTAAAAATTTGACTCAAATCATAAACCCTGGCAATCGAGTTGATTCTAACTCACAGTGACCCCCTGGAGGGTTCCCAAGACTATACATCCTTATGGGAGCAAGCAGTCTCAGCTTTCTATCTTGAAGAGATTGGGGCGGGTTGAAGCCACCAACCTGGTGATTGGCAGCCAAGTGCCTAACCACAATGCCATTTGTCTAGAGGTCACACCTGCTACAAGCTACCCACGAATAATCAAATATTCCAAATATATGAGTGTAATAGATAATGGAACTATAAATAACATAGGACCTGCCTGGCTTTCTGCTCTTCATGAAAATTGGATAGTGTGTTTGCTTCTTGCTAGAAGTACGGAGAGCCTAGTGCTGGTTTCTATTCATCCAGGTTGTCATGCCTGCTACAAAACCAAACCGAACTCACGGTCATCGAGTCTATCCTATAGGGTACTGGAGAACGGCTCCGTGAATTTCTGAGACTGTGAATCTTTATAGGAGTAGAAAGCCTCATCTTTCTCTCATGGAGTGGCTGGGTGCCTTTGCATGGCTGACCTTGCAGTAGCTCAGTATGTAACCCATTAGACCACCAGGGCTCCCTCATACCTGCTACAGTGCTTTAACAAAAACTAGGAAACCCCCACCACACACACACACACACACACACACACAAACCCACTGTCATAGCTTCAACTCCAACTCATTTTCAAGTTCAAGTCCAACTCCAACTCCAACTCAACCGTTTATCGGCATTATAGAAAAAGAAGATAACCATGCGACTACCTATATGTATATACAAGCATACATATACATTTATATATAAACTACATTTATACATATATACATAAACTATATATATGCCTACACTTATACCTATACATATATATAAGTACATTTATATAAAGATTGATAGTCCTATTTCATTACTAACACCTGGAAACTCTTTCAAAATAATTCTTTAGATTCTAAAGTTTAGAAGGATAGTAAGGATAATCATTTTATGATCAGTATGAAGGTGGCAATTAGAAATGTAATTATTATGAAATTTGGCCAGATAGTTCTTATTATTTCATAGTGTGTCAACTTAAATTCCTGTAAAAATCAACAGAATATTCATATGAAAGTCTAGAAATATTCTTTGGAAACCCTATTTATCCTTAGGAGAAGACATGAATAAAAAACTAAAGTTTAATACTACTTTAAATTCAAATAGTGCTTTAACGCTTGTAATGTGCTTTTTCATTAATTTATTTGATTTTCATACAAAGACTATAAGAGATGTTTCCATCCTTCAGACAAAGAATTTGAGATTCAAAAAGATTAGATGGCTTGCCAAAGGTCCTACAGGCAAAAAGTCACAAAATTTGGACTCCAATTAAAGTTTTATGACCCAAGTTCTATGTCCTTTCTTCAGGATAAGTCATCCTGCTAGGTTTAATAAATTGTTTAGAATAAGAAAATAATTATTAACAAAATACTGAAAAGATACGTATAGATAAACCCATTACCTGTAGCTTGGAATTTAAATATTTCATTTTGCATCCAAAATGAAAATATTTCAGAACAGAAGGTATAGAGAGTCTCACTGATGAAATTCCCAGAAACTTAAGTATATTTGTAAATCTTTATGAGAATCTTCTATACATGATATAGATATTTTTATAAATATATGTTATAGGAGAAAATCTCAAAAAAAGGTTTATCATTTATAAAACTTAAAAATAATCCTGGACCATTTTAATGAATCTTTACATATTTCTCCTAATAATAGTTAGGGTTACAAATATGAGTTATTTAGTTTGTTTCAATGTTTTTAGGTAAAAATTTATCTCAATTAATTTCCTAATTAATCACAAGTCATGATTACATAATTAACATGCAATCATATAAATTATGTAATAATTCTTATTTTCAGTGAAACTATATAATTTAACTTGACAAATCCATGTGTGTACACTCATGTATCTGTATACAGTATGTTGGGAAGAATATTAAAAAAAACAAATGGGAAGAAGATTAATGCAACTGGGAACTGTTTTTAGAAGATATCCATCAGATGAAAACCCTTGAGATAAATATTGTCTCGAGGGAAAAGAGAGTATGAGTCAACTCCGTGTTCCTTGTCTTAGTCTCACAGTTTCTCTACACCTCTTTCTTATAGCCAGAGCTCTGGGGAATGGCCAGGCCAGAGTCAACATTGCTTCTGGATGGCCTGATTAGCATCAGGATTGGGACCTTTCAGCGGTTCTCAACCTGTGGGTCGCGACCCCTTTGGAGGTCAAACGACCTTTTCACAGGGGTCGCCCGATTCATAACAGTAGCAAAATTATAGTTATGAAGTAGCAACGAAAATAATTTTATGGTTGGGGGTCACCCCGTGAGAACCGCGTTTCAGAGAAATGGGACACCAGGGGAAGCTCCTCATCACAGCAAGAACATACAATGAAATCCCCCCGAGGTTGAGTTTCATACAATAAGCGTAGCCGAAATGCTAGAAAATTTGAGGAAGCAGAGCGGGTTCTATCTCAACTCGGGTTCAAATCTTCTCCATCTGAAAATCCACCCAAGGCCTTCAGGTTTGCTAATCACGCGGTGGGGAGGTTTTGCCTAAGGACCGCTGTCACTTCCTTGAAGAAAGAGCATTCGTGCCGAGATTCCTCAGGCGAAGCTTCTCATTTCAAGAGATGGTGCAAGGCTTCTATGAACGTGTTTGGACTGTGTTAGAGCACCCAGGCAGTTTCAAATCCATTCTTTCACATAATGAACATGAGTATTTTTAAAAACTCTATTGCCTCAAAAGGAATAAGCAGTATCTTTAAGTGTGGTTTTATATATTTTCAATATAAATAGGCTCTCATGTCACTTAGGAAATTTGGGAGACCAAGCTCACCTCCTTCATAGGCAGGTGTGCACAATTTTTAAAAGTTAGGCATGTTGTTGAGATAAAGCTTCTTCAAATATAAGTTACTTAAGGAATAATAAAAGAAAATAATTAAAATGACATTCAAAAGAGGAGGAGTCATGTATCTAAATTAGACTCATTAAAGGGAGGATATGAATTCTGTCAAAGGCCAGCGTCTCTCACCTTCATGGCTTTTACAGCTTGAGATCCTGAGTAATCGAATTCACCAGCCTGACCGATGGACAGACCTCCTGATCCTAGGATAAGGACTTTGGAAACCTACAAAGAACAGGGAGGAAAAATAAGACATTGTGTTTATTATGATGATAATGAAAGTGAGACATTTTCAGCAGTAGATGCAAAACATTTAATTATCTGGGTTTGTATGATGATTTGAAATACAATATTTAATTTAATAACAATTAGGGGAAAACAATAACAACTTAAATATCTCTCATTTCAAATTCAAGTTGAAGCTGAAAAAAATTGAAACAAGCCCACTAAAGCCAACGTAAGAAATTAAGTATATCCCATATAAATTTAGAGACTAGCTCAAGAACACATTTGATGCACTTAAAGTCCAAAGACAAGACAAGCTGTAGCAGGCCATCCAGACTCATAAATAAGGAAGGCAAAGGCTATTTACAAAACAGAAAAGAAAAAGATAAAAGCAGGGTAAACATTAGAAGAGACTTCGACACTTGCTCGTGAAAGTTGAGCACAAAAGCGCAGGGATGGAATCATGAAGTAAAAGATTTAACAGATTTCCTAAGGTAGCTCCAGAGGACAAAGTACTGTGATTACATTTACAAAGACTTGGAATTAGGAAACACAAAAAAGAGAAAACATTTATTATTCATCATACTAAAAGAATTGAAGGGAAAAATCCAAGTCTCTAGTTGAATATTGAAGGATTCCTGGGATCAAAATAGTGGATGATGCAGAAAACTTCAAACAAAGATGGACAGAATTCACAGCCACCAAACCAAAAAGAACAGATTGATGTTCAACCATTTAGGAGGTAGCATATGGTACCAATGGTATTAAAGGAAGAAGAAGTCCAAACTGAACTAAAGGTATTACCAAGCAACAAGGCTCATGGGATGAATTGACAGACTACCAAATGAAATATTTCAATAAGAAAATGCAATATGTGAAGTGCTCACTCATGTACACCATGTAATTGGGAAGAGTTTCTACACAAGTAGACGAGAGCCATCTCCAGGCCTATTCTAAAGAAAGGTCATCCAATGGAATGTGAAAATTATCAGACCATAGCATTCTTAACACATTTGACTAAATTATATGGAAGGTAATTTTTTTTAATTGCAACAGTCCATCAACAAAGAACTGCCAAAATTTCAAACCAAATTCAAAAGAAGGCGAGTAACAAGGAATATCATTGTTGATATCAGATCGATCTTGACTGAAAGCAGGGACTATCAAAAAGCTGTGCCTTAGTGACCATGGAAAGGCATTCGACTGTGTGGAGCATAAAAATTATAGGTACCATCATTACAAATGGAAGTTCCAGCACATTTCATTGTGTTCTAGTAAAACCTTTACATCAGCCAAAACAAAGTTTCAAATTCATTTAAATAGGAAACATAGGTATTTTACATTTTTAATTTAAACTTAGGATATATATGCCTCAGAATAATATCCTTTAATCATATTTATTCAATTTGTATGCTGATCAAATAAACAGACACTGGAATATATTAAAGAGAACAGAGCATCCGAATTGGAAGACGATTCATTAACAACGTGCAATAGGCACGTAAGGCAACCTTATCGTGCTGAAAGGGAAGAGGCCTCGAAGCCCTGACTGATGAAGATCAGAGACTAGAACCTTCAGAAGGGCATGTACCTCAGCCTAGAGCAAGCAAACTCTTCACAGAGAAACAATAAGTAACATCGTTACAAGAGGGGTAAGATGGACACGGTCAAGGATTTCATTTGCCTTCAATCCATAACCAATGCCCAGGAAAACAGCAGTCGTGAAATGAAATGACACGATGTATCACGTTGGGCAAATCTTCTGCAATTGTTCTCTCTACTGTGTTCAGAAGCAAAGATGGCACTGTTAGGACGAAAGTGTGCTGTATCATTTTCAATCACCCTTTAGTCATGTGACAGTTGAACAGCAAATAAATAATACGGAGGTTAAATGATGCATTTGACTTAGGGTGTTAGCAAATAATACTAAATATACCGTAGACTGGCAGAAAAAAGAATAAATCCATCTTTGAAGAAGTACACACAAAATGCTTCGTAGAAGAGACAATTACTAGGCTCTGTCTCATATATTTTGGAAATGTTATCGGGAGGGACCGGTCCCTGAAGAAGGCTATCATGCTTGAATAAGTAAAGAGTCAGAGGGAAAAAAGGAAGGTCCTCAACCAGATGGATTGATGCAGAGGTTCTAACAATGGGCTCCGACGTCGAAGCGCATCGAGGATGTCACAGATGGGGAGCGTTTGTTGTTCTGTTGTTCACAGATTCACTCCGAGGTGGAACCAGTCAGCTGCACGTGGCAGCAACGTTAATGAAGTTTCCCAAGTTTTATAAAGTTTTTTTTAATATGAAAATTTTACAAGAGGCCTATGTTTAATTGAATCTATACATAAAGATCAAAAAAATATAAACATGAGAGGGGGCTTCTAAAGTTCATGGAAAAATAGAATTAAAAGATAATGATGGGAGCTGATATCAAAATTCAAAAAGAAAGAAAATGTCTTGAAACTGATTGCAGTGTCAATTGATTAATACTTCATGAGGTGAGGGGACTATGGAATGTTCTGATATCAAGAAGAGTTCCCGATAAAAAGGATTTTAAAAGAGAAGGGCGTGGGGAATACAATGAAAAGTTTCCATGAAAGTTTTAAAGCCCCCTCCAATAAAATTATATGTTTCTAAATGTAAACATAGATACAAGTATGCACCCCTTTATGTCTATGATACTTTCTGTGAACAGGGCCACCTTATGGGAATTGGATGTGCAAAAAGCCTATTGTATACAGTCTCTGTACACTCTGCGGTTAAATCTCTGTGAAGCCTATTCTATTAAACGGTATCAACACCTGCCCAGCAAAGCTCAAGGGCTGTGTCTACTGGATACTGGAGCTCAGCCGTGTGGGCTCTGTGGCTGAGCAGGACAGGGTTGCTCAGGCAGCCAGATCCAGGACTTCATACATGTGCTGGCACAGAGGGTTGGAGAAGCTCCAGGGATTTGGATATGTGGCCTTGCAGCCTGTGCATGAGTATTGGGAGTAGGCCTGATGGTGGCAGCCCTGTCTGCCACTGCCCTTTGGTGTGGTCACTTCCTTATTATGAGGAGCCAGCACTGTCACTGTCCCGTCAGGGAGTAAGGGCTGCAGCGCGGGTGGGCTGGTCAAGCAAGCCAGGAGCAGGGGCAGTGGGGAGAGGAAGAGAAGGCCCTGTGAGGAGGGGGCTGTGCCCTAGAAGACGGCTGCTCATTCACTGTGGGAATTTAGGACGTTAAAGCCATAGAAGGAAATTGTAAATATGAGGAGAACTGCTTTCCCTCTCTTTAAAAAATGAAATCAGAAGCGCTTTCTGGGACCATGACATCAATACGTAGTTGAGGGTTTCCCAAGCAGATATTAAGCAAAACATATGAGGCTTGGGCGCCTGCTTTAACTATGATGGAAATGAATCGAACCTTATGACATTAACATATGTATTCAAACAAATCAGAATTTAAGTCTTATATTAATCCTTATACATTTGCTCCCTAGAGGTAAAATAATATACTCCATTCAGGATGAGTCATAATAATTTATGTAAATGAAATAGAAAAATGATATTATCTATAATTATTGTTTAGCCTTAATTGTATGATAAGCATACTTTGATTGGGCTATGGCTTGTTGAGTAACAGAAAACATACTGAATTCTAAACTAAATTATACTCTAAAATCAATTAAACTATTTTATTGCAAATCTTCTAGAAGAAGAAAAAATTTAAGTGTATAATTTTATAGCAAAATATAAAAATTCCAGTCGACATCAAGAACAACCCAGATTGTTACATGCTGAGGTGATGAGAGATTACATCACGTTCAATCCTCTCTCATAGACACTGGGATGATGCCCGTCATTCACATCAAGAAGACCAGTGCTTGACAGAGACAATCTGAAGGCTACAGTCAAAAACCACGCACGCAAGCACTAACCTCCACTCGAGATGCAACGAGTGCCGGCTTTGGCAGAACGGATGTGATGGTGGTGCCTTTCCCCTTCTTTATCAGCGAGAAAAAGGAGTCAAACAAGTACTAGAAAAAAACATAGCCAACCAGTTAGAAGCTTCCAACCTAAGAAGGTTGCCAGATAACATGGCCAGTTAAATTGAAACTCCTGGTAAACAACATATCATGTTTTAGCATAAGTATCCTCAGACAATATTTGTGGGGGGGTTTGGTGGTGATGGTAGTGGTAATGATGGTGGTGGGGTTTTTTGTTTTGGTTTTTGTTACATAATTTCATGGCACCTTGATAAATAAGTGTCTGGGTGGAGCCTAGCCTGTCAATCAGTTCACAGCCTGATGATGCCTCTTGTGGGTGTGGCCTTCTCGTGAAGATCCTGGGAACTTTCTCTCTCTCTCTCTCTGCTTCACCTTCTTGTTGATGAGCCACACTTGGAGAACTGGAGGACCAACATGGAGACCTGAACCTTGTGATGTTTCCACTGCCACTGGATCTACAAGACTCCCCCGCGCCCCCTACCACCACCCCACCTGTGATCTTCCTGCATTCTGCACCATTGTGTTTGGCTGCATGATTCTGAAGAGGGGGTTTTGGACTAGTATTGGATTTATGGACTAGTATCAGACTTATGGGCTAATATCAGACTTATGGACTTGATCTGGACTGGGTTAGGATGTTTTGTCAATATACAATTGCTCTTTGATATGAAGTTCTTTCTTATCGCTATATGTGGGTCACTGAATTGTTTCACGAGTCAACCCAGTCTAACAAAGTTTTGTTTTTCCAAATCAGGCATAACTAAGTACCAGCTACTGTAAGAATTAGATGAAATAACCCCTTCTAACTTTTCACTTCAAGTCTTATATAAAAAGGCTATTTTCAGCAGGTGATGAGCATTTTAGACAATGCATTCTGAGTGTGGCAGGAAGTTCCCCACCCTTTCATTGAATATCATTTTCTTCTTCTAAATAAAATTCTAATTAAACAAAAAATTAAAGCGATAATCATCTATGTACCTTAAAGGTAACTGGATTTTTTAAAAATGTTTCCAGGCCTAAAAAAAAATCTTTAAAGGCCACTTTTAAATTTTCCCATGACTTTGCTTCTGTTTTTACCCTAGACATGATAAATTTCAGCCGAGAATATTCATTTTTTTAGTGAATTAGAAGGTCAGAGGATGATTAAGTGATAGTGGATATTATTATTATTTTTTTAATTGGAAGGCTCCCAATTTGAAATACTGATGGAAGGCAACAAATTAAATTTTCAATTAAAAAATACTTTCCACACATTGCATGGCAAATCAGATGCAATGTATTATATACTTGAATATAACGGAATTTTATTTATAACCCTCGTTGTGGGTAGATGATATTATAATGACTGTCTATTAAGAACCAATAGGTCTTGGTACTATTAAAACAAGAACAAGAGACAAGTATCTGGAAAGGTAATTCAGGTCTGAGACAAAGAAGTTTACAAAGGGAAAATGCTGATTCCCCCTCCCTGTTTCAGTCTTTTCTAATGGCATCTGTGATGGATGAGGTCCCTACACTACCCTTCACAAAGTGGCCCAGGGTGTGAGAGGGAAAGACCCCCATCAGAATTTTCTGAATACCACCAAACACTCCGTTTGCGGACATGTGCTTCGACAGTGAACCACGAGCTCACAAGAAGAGTGAAAATATTTAAATTAAAAATACAGCTCCCCTAAGCCTTCCCATGGGTCTTTTCTTAAGCTATCTGAATCCTACGGCTGTGCACGCCTCCTCGTCCCCCATGCCCAGTTCCTCTGCCGCTCTCTGCTCCTGTTTGTTCTCCCTTCGTGGCTGCACAACCAGCTGCCACAGGGGTTTTTGTGAAGCCACAGATGGGGGATTAACATTTCATTTCAGCTCTACGAAGAAGAGAGCAAGAGGGAGTTCATTTGCATAGCACAACAATTGTAAATTTCAGAACTAAATAGATTAGAATGATAATGGATTTAAATAAAAATAGCTCTGCGTTGGGCTTAAGGGCTTTCCCCCTTTAAAGTTTCCAAAAGATAGAAATTGTCGGCTGTCATCTTCGTGCGCGGACATTCTCAGACAAATGGGGTGTTACCAAACCACTCTTCTTGAAACTGTTCTGTATCAAAGTCACTTGGGGGGATTATTTTCATTTCTTCGTTTTCACATAAATATATCTTGAATAACACTCCCTACACCCCCCCCCCCATACATGTAATGGGCTTCATGATTGTGACATACCTCAGTGTCTGTTGGCCCCGGGCTGACCTCTGGGTGGAACTGCACCCCAAAGAAGGGTTTGTTCTCATGCATGATGCCCTAAGGAAATAAGAAGCAGAAGAAATGCTTTCTGTAACAACCAGGGTCAAAGGTAGCTGTGTATTATTTAATGGGCAAAAAAGTTCAAACAAAAAGCAAAGCTAGATAATTAAGAATATTCCAGAAATGAACAATATTGCTATAGGACTGGAAATCTTAAGGACTAGCATGCGACCATATTGGTAAGGACAGAAAATTGGCCAGTGAAGTCTCATCAGAATCTGCCTCCTTGGCTCTGTTCAGAATGGGCTCAAACCCTTGAGCAGGGCTGTAAACTCAATTGAAACGCCGGCCATTCCGTGCTACAGGCAAGACTCACACGGCCACATCACATCTACAATTTTGTTAAATTTATATTTTGAAGTGAGGATTCAGGAATATGGATAGGATAATTAAAACACTATATAATTACTTTTATTTAACCATTTATTTTATTTAATGTATTTATAAAACTAAAATGATTCATTTTTACCCGAAACTTGCCAGCGCTTTCCTCCTACTAGTTTTCACTTGCCTCTTAGGTTGTGACCGGAAAATATAACAAAGTAACTAATAAAACCCCCAAAATGTTGCACAGCTGACAAACGTGATGCACAATCGTCATGGCTTCCCTCTACAAATGTGAGCTAGCACTGCCGCTAGGTATGATTCATAACAGCACACCCCAGAGTGCTCTTTTTAACCTTTTCGCTATTGGGGTCTGTTTACATTACGGGACACTGACAGTGGCAGACAAATCGCTTCCAAACATCGCCAGAACCGAGTCAGCGTTTATCCATGTCAACAGGTCCCCAGGAAAAGCACTGGGCCACGTGTAGAGTCGTCTTCAGTAGTGAAAGGGTTGACAAGGGTATTGTGTATATGGTGTTGCCTCGATCTCCCCTAAATGCTAGTTTCTTCATAGCAATTTGTTCTATTTTCATTTTATTTCAGAGCATCTAGGGCCACAAAACATTACCTCGGGGGCCCGCATGTGGCCCATGGCCATCAGTTTGACACTCCTGCCTTAGGTCAGCTCTCATTCCTATATTGTTTCTCCAAGAGTCTTCTCCAGGATATGTTAGTCCTAAAGGAGTCCTGGAGAGACCTAGACTGCTACTTCCAATACCCAAACAGCTCATTAACAAAGAATGTATAAGAACGTAAAATCATCAACTAACAATAAAAATAGTGGGTATGAATGCGTGAACCAATGAAATAATCAGGCACCAAAAAATTACTTTTTAAAAGCAGAGGGTTATGAGAAATAGCTATAAAACATGTTACTCCTCTCCCCATATACCCACAAAATCCCCCCTAAAGTATAAGATAGAGCTTTGAAAGTCCTGCATTTCTCATAGGTTTAGAAGCTCTCCATACCTCATTGGTTTGATCGTTGACATTCACAAACAGTGGCTTCCAGCCAGCTGGGAGGGTGTTGTCCAGAGCATAGCCGTGATTCTGGGCAGTAATGAAAGCCTGTCTGTTTGTGACATTCAAAACCGGTTGGTTCTGCCCTCTGATCAAAAGCAGGAGAAGGAGAGGAGTGGGGGAAAGGAGAGGGGAGAGAAGAATGTAAGTGGATTTCTTGTAGAGAAGTGAATGAAAAAGACTATTAAAATTAAAGTTTCCACTGCTTAGTGAAAATCGCTCCATAAGAAAAGTCACAGATGTTTAATTCCAATAATTTTTGCAAGAAAAATCAATTCTGGAGCTTTGTTGTGTGTTAAATCTAGGGTCTATTAAATTTCCATAATCAGTTTTAGCAAAGGGAAACTTGCACTCTTTTAACAAAAAGTTAAAAGTTATTCACTATCTACATCAAAATTGACAAAGATCGTGACTTAATTTAAGGAAGAAAGGAATACAATATCTTAAATCAAGAGGACATTTCATGGTTGATAATGAAGGATAACTGATCAGTCTGGAATTATTTTCTATTCTATTCTATGGGGAGTGTGAGTTGTAGGGACATCTCGGTGTTAGGTAAAGTAACATCATTTGAAAGTGCAACTGAGAGGGCAGATGAGAGAATTCTGAAAATAATGTCAATGCTCTAAAATCAAATTTAAAGTTAGAACAATTTCCCTTGGAATTCCATTGAGGATTATAGCCTCAATTTAAGCAAGGGAAGGAAAATCAGGTTAAACTGTAACAAAGTTATCATTAGAAAAGGCTGCTTTTCAAAAAGGCAACCAAAGTGGTATCAGATAGTCATACAACTGTGAACCATGAAAGGGCACGGTCATCTCTAGTCTGAAGAAAATGACGTGGAGTTCTCTAAGTCCATTGTGTTTGGGGAGCAATAGGATTTCAGAATTCGTTCAGAGATCAAAAGACATGACCCTCGTACCTGTTGGCCATGGGCATCTTGTAGGACTTGGCACCCGCAGCCAGTCCTGTTATTATGTTTCCTGTGCTGATTCCAAACAAAGGTTCTTTGCGATCACTCTCCAAGATCTACATCAGAGAAGAGACCTTTTATTTACCCGGTGGGACAGGTAAGACAGTGCTAGACACACTGCTGTCTCTGAAGGAACGACACTGAAAGACCCCGGGGGTGTTTTCCCTTAATGATAAAGAAACTAGAAACTGAATTGACAACTCAGCCTATAAATATGTACATGATTGACCAATCCATGGCATTAAAATTCAGTGAAATGTTCTTAGTATTCAGAATACATTAAAATATGACTCGATATTTTTAGAAACATGAAGGCCTGATAGGCCTCCGAGCCATGTTTAGGAGCATCTGTTATTATATTTCAGTGACAGGAAAAGATGCATTTGGAAGTTAAACGCTGTCTCGTTCTCTTTATTCAAGGACACAATCCCAAAGTTGCTTTGTCTAAAGGAAGTTCTTTCCCCTCCTGGAACTTTCTTCTGTCTGGGATATCTATGTATAATATCTACACTGGCATTGCCTCAAAGATCAGACAGGAGGGTCAAAACTACCAGAATAAGCGAAAGGCAGTTCAGTCCTTACAGAAGCCGAGAGCAGACTCCTTCTACATCACTTCGAACACAGACTGTCTCTGGGCTTACTGTACCTTCTTGACATTCTGAATCAGCGGCTCGGCCAGAGCAGGGTTCCCAGGTCCACCAGCAATTAAAAGTCCATCATACTCCATCTTGGTGAAATCGTGATTCCAGGGCACTAAATGTACTTCTGCTCCTCTCTGGTAAAGAACCACAAGAATGATCAATTGAATAACCGTTTTCTTTGCCAAAGTGTGATTTTACTGGACCTTCTCTTAACTAACCCGTCCGCGGACTGGAAGGAAAAGTAGCACATCTCAAATAGCATTGAGCAAAAAGTTCTTTGGTGGCTCGCTGTGTTTTGTGTGATACACGTGGAGGTGATGGCCAATAGAAAATGAAGAGAAAACATCATTAAATTCTGAATCCCAGAACAAAAATCATATCCTTTTCTGAACTTCAGGAGAGTTCAGTGCCTAAAGGCTCCCTGGCTGGGCTCATAGAAGTACAGGTTTTCTTCATTAGCCACTAGACAGAGAGAGTTACCAAAGGAAGAGAAGTTCATTTGCTGCAAAATCTAAGTTGGCCCACCTCTCACCTTGTTCAATTTTGCCTTTTTTCCCTGGTCTCATCAATACTGACCCCCCCCCCTAAATTTTAATCAGCTTCTTCCTTAAGGTTTTATCATATTATCTAAAATATTGATATTCTGGTAGAAAAAAAGTATATTAAAGTGGATAGAAAGAAGTTTTTGAGTGTTTCCCTAGAAATGTTTTTGAGACAAGGATTTGAGAGAGGAAGTTTTTCTGGGAGATGCTTCCGGGAAATACCAATAGGGTAGAGGGGATTCCCCAGTAAAATGTGCATTACCAAGCAGTTCCCACGAGGAACTACTGGAGCTGAGTCCAGTGGCGTCTCTGAGATTTGGAGTTGGATTCTGACTGTAGAGATGGCCCACTCACTCACAAGGCAAAGGAGATGGGAAACAGGTACGCTGACTCTCTCTACTCATTGGTTGGGAGCTGTTCTCAGCCTACCCAAAGGCTCAGACTCATCAGTGACAGTCCTCAGGTAAAGATATGAGGACTGAGTATGCCGGCAAACGGAAGTTGTTGATAAAACTTAAAAGAATGTGAAATCATATTTTAGATATGGATGATATTCTCTAACAAAGAGAAAGTAATTTGAAGAATGACCCTCAAACTCATGACAATGTAATGTTAGGGCAATTTATGTCCATGTGTTCTTGAGAAAGACAGAGAAAGCACACGTGATTGATCTTGGGAGAGTAATAAAAAGGTAAAATTTCCTGAAAAATAATATTTGAGAAAACATTATTACAGTGATTAAGTTGTCCCTAAAGATATTCAAGTATTCATTTTAATCCATCACCTAGGATTCAATATAATGTATTTGTGAAAGGGTTTATCAGAGCATGATCCCCGCAAACAGGTGGTGCATAATAAATGTAGGCCAGCTGGCTCCAGCTTGCTGGTCACGTAGACCGCCACGGAAAGTGAACGTGGCAGGCCACAGAGCGTCAGGAAACACGGGGAAAGAAGGAGCACCTTTTCCTTTCAAAACATAGTGGCCCTGGAGGGTTGTGTGTTTCATTTTGGTCTTGGTTTGGGCTTTGAACATATGTCGTCATCTACATCTTTCATGACAACAGAGCAAGGGCTATTTACCCAAGAAACAAGATAAGCGCCGCTTACTTGGACAGGTTTACGAATCTGTAGTGAGTAGTTCCATGTGCTTTTCACCACATGATGTGAAAATGACTTGCCAAAAGATACATACAACTGTTCATGACAGATTAGTAGGCAAGCACAAGTAAGGCCATGCTGACCTTGCTTACTGGCTACTCCGTTTCTCTCAGGGAGTATACATTTGAAAAGAGGCTCGGATTCTCAGAGACAGTGCTGTGGGTTGTGAGAGACACAGATGGAGGCCATGTGTCAAAGCGGAGTGTTGAAAAAAAAGTGATATTGTTCATGCTCATCTCTCCCTGCCACTGAGTCAATTGTGACTCATAGAGACCCTACAGGACCCGGTAGAACCTCCCCTGTGGGTTGGCAAGACTGAGAATAGACCACCTCACCTTTCTCTCTCCCCCGGAGCGGCTGCTTGACCTGACAGCTCACAGGCCAATGCTCATCCTATTACGCCAACAAGGTTCCATCAAATTGTTCGCTACCGGTGTGTGAACAAGCACAAGTAAGCCTATGCTGACCTTGGGGTCTTCCACCCCTGGTGGGAATTAAGGTGTTATTGTGTAGATAATTCCCTGAAGGAATTAAGGTGTTATTGTGCAGATCAACAACAGCAAGGAGAGAGTAGGTAACTTGACATTTTGCAGAATGCACAAGCTTGCTCAGAAATGGGATATTGGCTTTGTGCAGAAAGATTATTCTCATCCACCTTCACCCTTAAGTTGCGGGAAGGGTGGGGGGGGGGCACTTACCTTAACCAGTAGGCGGATTACGTTGTTTTTGATCCCGCAGTCTACCGCCACCACTTTTGTGGGGTTTCCTTTGCCAAACACTCTGACATCCTGCCATTAAAAAAACACAAACTGAGACTGCCAGGAGAGTCCCGACATGAGCCACACACCAGTATCACCAGCACATCTGCAGAGACGCTCCCCTTCGAGTGGTAACGGTGGCTGCCTAAAGACTCGGGAGTGAGTGGCAGTGAACAGTCGATTGGCAAGAAAAGCACAGCATGTGCCACAGACTGCATCTTTTTTCTTTTTTAACAAGAAAAAAGTACTTTGCTGTGTTATCTAAACTGTTGATTGCAGTAATAACAATGATCCCTAAGAAACTGGTTCTCTCCATAGTTAACTGCCATCTTTTTCATGGTTTGCCTCATTAACAACCAGTAGCCACGGAATTTTAAAGTATAATTGCCTGATTCAGCACTAGACCTAGGTGGTAATAAATACATCTTGCTTTAAATCCTGCTTGATCCTCAACTTGCCGCAAGATCCAGTAGGCCAGGGGAAAGCTGGATGACTAGCTCCTAGGTGCATGCAGTGGGTCCTGATCAGTGTGAGAATCACGAGAAGCAGTAGCGTAAGACTCCTGGCCCCGTTAGGTGACTGAGCAATCATTTACATTTAAATGGTAGATTTCATAAGAGGATCCCAGAGCATAGCATAATCATTATCTACGTCTGAAACACTGCTTAGAGGCAGATCCATTTTCATAGGCATTTTCCCAAGAAGCAGTTCCCCAAAGTCATAAAAGAAGAAATAATAAAAATGAGAGAGGGAGAGTGAGTAAGCACCGCAGGCTGGGCATCAACCCTGGTGTCTGTTCCAAGAGTGAGTGAGCGCGCACATGCTGAAGTTAGGACGAGTTTATCGTTTGCCAAAGGGTCTGGATGAACGTTGCAATCTGGATATCTGTGAAAGCATTGTACTTTAACTGAAATGTATCTCTATCCGCGACGTCTATAGAATGTGAAACCATGGTCCTTAGACTCTAGTGGAAAATTTAAAAAAAAACAACTTTTAAATGTGTCTTCTCCTGCTATTCAGGAGAAAAAGAAATACTCCAACCCTTCTATGATTCAGGGAAATTATTGCTGAAATGATCCATTAGTGCTATGGATAATCTTCTCGGATAATTTGAAAAGGGTAGGTTTATTCTTAAATCAGGCTTTTGGTATAAAGTAAAGCAACATTACCATCTAGTTGTGGCCCTATCAAATTGCAATTATACAATAAGAGATTATGTTATCAAGTGTTCCAGAAGGATACATTCAATCAAAATGTACAAATTATATACATATCCCTGATACAAATAGATATATGATCACTGTTAGAATAAAAGCATTTAGTTATCCTGGTGCTAAGATACAGAGCCATTCTTCAGCATTACAATTTTCCCCTTGATTTGATGATCAAAATGCACATATGCTCAGCTGTGATGATCCCCACACAAATATACCACATACTTTCCACAAAGAACGAAGTTAAGCAAGACTTCACAGACACGTGGCTATAAGAATTTCCATTAGAACTCTTCAAGCGAATAATACCGTGTAGAGCACATTTCAATCTGATTTGAACAAAGAATTTTTTTTTCCAGGACAATGTTCTTCACATTAGAAAAATGCCGGACCAGATTCTTAGGGTAGTTCTGAAATCTAAAATTCTATCATTCTATTGAAAGTACAACTAGATCTCCATAATGCCATGTCTTCATATGGAAATATCATTTGAGAAGATAAAATTTAAGAATTAAAAATCGGAGGTGATGTTGCAAATGATAGCATGAAATTCCAAGCAGAGACAGTATTACAGTCTCTAATTTAAAATACACTTTCTATAATCCATATTACATATATTTCAGCTTGTTATGAACACATGCCCATGCCTAAAGTGAACATAAGGACTAGCTATTAGTGCCAAAAGACTCCAAACCCTCTTCCCCTATTTCCATGTGAACAGAGACAATTCGATCCCTTTTCCAAGACCACGGTGTGCTGCCCCTGCCTGGGATGAGTTGCTAATTAGACTATTTTCACTCTCTCAATAGTCTTTTCATTATGCTGCACCTGGGCTCTCACAACAAGAATTCTTGTGGATAAGGTGCATATGCTCCATGCTCATTCTGCTAATAGCAATGTCACAGAGGAGCCGCTATTTGTCAGAGGGAAGCCCCTCGGTGAGGTCTGTGCCGTCACTGTAGAGAGCAGAACACTGCATGTCACCAGAGTTCATTTGTGGTGTCGTCATCTCATATCTCGTCATTCATTATAGTACTTCTGATCAGAAAGAATGCACATCTCACGAGCGTGAAAGCTGGCTAGAGCAAAGCAATGATAAGTGTATTTGAGTGTTACTACATGATAGTGTGAGTGTGATTCATCACAATTATTATCGCTAATATGTTGGAAGGCAGTATGGACGTCGATTAAGGGCCAGCTTTCTTAAGTGTATGTTTCCTGATAACTATTCACAATGATAAAGATATTTAATCTCTATTTCAATTTCCTCTGAGATACAGAGGGAGGTCTGAGTATTATCCATTCCCATAGCAGTTTCTAGGAGGATTGAATAAGTTAATCCATGTAAAGTGTTTATAAGAATACTTGGTACCAGGACCAGTGGTGTGAGTGGCGATACAGGGAGGGTAGAGACAGAGTGGGTTGGAAAGGGGGAACCGATTACAAGGAACTATATGTGACCTCCTCCCTGGGGGACGGACAACAGAAAAGTGGGTGAAGGGAGACGTCGGACAGGGCAAGATATGACAAAATAACAATTTATAAACTATCAAGGGCTCATGAGGGAGGGGGGAGTGGGGAGGGAGGGGGAAAATGAGGACCTAATGCGGGGGGGCTTAAGTGGAGAGGAATTGTTTAGAGAATGATGCGGGCAATGAATGTGCAAATGCGCTTTACACAATTGATGTGTGTACGGATGGTGATAAGAGTTGTATGAGCCCCTAATAAAATGATTTAAAAAATCAAAAAAAGAATACTTGGTACCTAGTAAGAATGCAATATACGGGGGTTTAAATGGAGAGAAAATGTTTTGAGAAACGATGTACAAATGCGCTTTACACAATTGATGTGTGTATGGATTGGGATAACAGTTGTATGAGCCCCTAATAAAATGTTAAAAATAAATTAATTAATTTTAAAAAGAATGCAATATACTTGACTTTTTCTTTTTATTAATGTGACTCGTACAATAGCTACTAGTAAAAAAAATCATGCTTTCTACATTAATCAGAAATGATATGCCATCATAAATATCAACTAAGATCGAATACGAAGGACGAAAAGAATCTGCAACTTGTTGCCCCTCAACTCGGACGTGTTGCCTTGGCCCATTGCTTCATTCCTGTTGCAATACCTACAGCACGCATCCTGTAACAAGGGTGTTGCTGGTTGGGCCTGGGGAGGCAAAGAAGCGAGCCAGGCTGTCTGCTCTCCAAGAACTGGTCGTGGATGGATGAGCGAGACCATCGCCTCCCTATGATAACCACGTATTTGTAAAAGGACATGGAATTGAAAGACTGTGGAGTTGAGAATGTCTCGCCAAGGGAAACGCGGTTGGTCCTTGAAGGTGACGAATGAAGGTGAAAGGGACACAGAGACAGAGAAGCATCGTAGGCAGAGGAGCAAACATGCACACATGTTCTGATCCTGCCAAACGTCTGTGAGGAAAAAAGAAAGAAATTCACAGTCTTGAGAGAACATCAGGATGTATGTCAGAGGATCCAAGATAAGGAGTTTTTGAAAGCTTTTGGAATAAACCCTCCACACTGGAAAGCCAAATAAGGTCCGGCTAAGCACCAACTTTGGTTTCACGTGAGTTCGCTCGGACACTAGGAGATGGATGGGCTGCAACATACTACAGGTGAGGAGGGCACAGGACCAGCAGTGTTGTGTTCTCTGCTCTATGTGGCTGCTGTTATCCAGAATCAACTCGACACAGCCTAACATATAACCTTGGGTAAGTTAGGTCTACTTTTAAAGGGATTTGGGGCCAAACCTCAGTTTCTTGAACTATAAAATGGAGTTAACTTTTTATGAAATTTTACTCAGTATTCAAAAAATATTTGCAGGGAGTTCTATGAAAATTAAGTTCTGGTATATCTGGCATCTTATGTAATAAAAATACAGGGCAGAAATTTACTCTTTACGTTTCTAAGCACATCAAAAACTGACAACACAATTCTCAAATGATATCTCAAACGCATTTCAATCTTCCACTGAAATCACCATCACTGTGCTCACCCAAATTATTGAAATCCATAGCGAAGAAAACAGGGTGACCACCTACCTGGTCCTATCCAACACCTCTTTCTCTAATGGTTCCCATCCACCTTGCTGTCTCATTTCCCGCTGCTACTGCTCAGTTCAGATGCTCCCGCTTAGCTGCAATAGCCTCCCAGGTACTTATTCCATCCAGTTCTACTTTGACACCGAATCCGTTTTCAATGGTTTCGATATTGTTGATAGGCCAATCGTACTACACCTTCTAGATCTCGACCCAGTTAATCTTGGAAACCTCACCTCCAGTCACCATCACAATGTGAGATTCCTTAAGTTCAACTGTACCAAATTATGCACCCGTTTTCAACACAGCATGCTGTCGCAGGCCTCTATGCCTCTCAGCACCACATGCCGTTCTTTCTGCCTAAAACCTAGTTCACCTGGATCTCTGCCGACTGAACTACTACCTCGCCTTTACATTTCCAACAGGCCTGCTTTCCCTAGTCCACTATCCCATTCTCATGCTGCCCCACACGTGCCCTTGTGACTCCCTGAGCATACATACCCCAAGGAGGGCGTTTATCATTGGACTTGGTGCCTGGTGATTTGCTTGTTTGCAGCCTGACCAGGGTCCAGGTTCCCCAGGACCTTGGCCCCAGTGACTCTCCCCTACATTAATAGGTATTCAATCAAAGCCAATGGACATCTCTCTAAACGGTATTCTATACGTTCTTGCAAATATGCACTTAACATATTTCACTTTGGGGTGACACAGCCATCATTATGAACTTTAATTTGGGCACTGAACGATACATCTTCCATGCGTAGGAATACTTTTCCCTCCACAAAAGGGCCCAGACTCCAGCGACAGCATCTGATTTCTGTACAGTGTCAGGTTTGGGCTATCTGGCAAGCTACTAACTCTGGCTCCCAATCATTCTTATGCCCACCTCTGACAATTCAAGGCTTCCTTTATCTGATATTATCAAGGGCTGGATCTGAGAGACCAGGACAGAAAAAGAAAAGAAAAGGAGAAAACTATCAAGGATTCCTGAGGGTGGGAGGGGGAGGGAGGGGAACAAAGAGGAGCTTATACTAAGGGCTCTGGGCTAAAAGTTTGGAAATGATAAGGGCATCATGTGAACAAATATGCTTGATACAACTGACATATGGAATGTGTAAGAGCCCCCAACAAAATGGCTTAAAAAACTAAAATAATAAATAGCTTCTAGATCAGGACCTGACAACTCTCTTATAATTCAGTTAATAACTTGAACTGCCCTGATTAAGTAGCATGTCCTTGAGTTGTTATGGAAACACTTTTCCCGCTGTCTGAATGGCAAGAAAGGGAAGCGCAAAGGCAGGAAAATAAACATAGTGACGATGAAGGACCCCTCTCACCTTGGTTGAAACCTCAGCGATCAAGTTCTGCTTGCTTGGATCCACAAAATCCACAGACTGACCTTCAAGCTCAATCTTCCCAAGCGTGGTCCCCTATCAAGTTAAAACAGAGAGAACATGTCAGGTAAAAGCATGCCGGGAAGAAGGTGCTGACCAGACACACAGGGACTTAACTGCTCCAACCCTGGGTGTCTTTAATACTCATCATCATCATCTCTTCATCTTCTCCACCTGGAAGGATGCAGTAGTTTGCATATTACACTGTGAGAATTATACAATCAAAGTCATGAGTGCTTTGTCGGTCCCCAAGGGGACGGAGCGTGTCAGGTAGCTGTTCCTCGGGGGGCATGGCAAAGAGACGTCTGGGAGAGGAGGAAAAAGAAAATCCGAAAATTGTAGAAAGGGGAATATTCAAGAATATCTTAAGGAGCACTGGTGGCATCTGGGTTAGTACATTGAGAAAGCAACAACAAGGCCAGCGGTTTGAAACCACCCACCACTCCACGGGAGAAAGATGAGGCTTGTCAGTCTCAGAAACCCACACAGCAGTTCCAGCCTGTCCTGCAGGGTCACCAGAGGTGTACCTGGCCCCTGCGGCCGTGGGTTGCTTCTGTTTTCATTTGGACGAATATTTAACCGTTTATGAAGTAAGTTTTCACATAAAATCTTCTGAAATACCACTGGCTACGTAAGTGGCAGAAACGCTTCTTTTTGCTAGCTGTGTTTTGATATTTACTGATTAAGAAATATCAACTGCATTAACAAGCAAATTTCAAGAGCCCGTTTTCATTTGTGTAAGAAGATGGCCTGATAGTAATCGGGATTTTCTTTAGAGAAAAACGTTCAAATAAACCATGGAGTGGCCTTTCTCTCAGGAAACATGGCATTAAAGGACTTCAAAGGCAGCTCTGACGCCTCTTTCAGCATGTTTTCTTCGTAGAGAAATGGTTTGTGGCCGAGTGAACGAGCATAGAAAGGGCCAGCGCACAATTCAGACCGGAGTGGGGTTTGAGTGCCAGTGTCCAGACCAAGCGCTGTCTCCCACTTTGCCATCTCTCCACTCCACAGTGCTCTGTCCTGACTCCTGGTGGTCTGTTCTTCCTGCTAGAATCCCAGCCACACAATCCATGCGACGGGATTTACGACCCCTTCACGCTGCAATTTAGTTGTCAGGTCTCAGTTGGTGTTCGTAAGGCATCCTCGGTGAAATGCAATCTCCCTCTTTCAACTTTAGGCTCACGGAAGTGAAAGCTACACTATGCATCTTTGGGGGGGGGGGGGGGGTGTGGGGGGGCGGGGAGTGGAGATGAATCCACATCACTTGTCATTGCACAAAATAGGCACGTTGCTCTTTCTTGTGTTCTGAACTATGGAAATACTGAAGACCTAATGGCCTTTGATAAAAGGCTACCTGAGAAGACACAGTGTGATACTATTAAGAGTTTTCCTTGATCATTAGGTCTAACTTGGTCCTACTGAATTGGCCAAACCTGCAGCCTTTGTGATATTCCCGAACTTTATTCTGTCTCCTCCCAGGGAGCTTCATTTTTGTCTTTATACATCACACCATTAGGCTAAGAAAACAAAAGAATCAACTTGGGGTAAACAATCTGGCTGCCATCAATTCTCAGGAAAATCATGGAGAAAAAAATTAAGGCAGAGATGAGAGAGCATGGTATCGTGAACTGTTTTCCTGTGGGCCGTGGGTTCTGTGTCCCGGTTGGCAGGGCTGCTCTTTCGTTCTCTGACAGAGGTTCTGTGTCAGTACTTGTTCACACAAGAAGTCTACTACATCTTCCTGGAGAATCGGGTTCCCACCTCGCCTTACAATTGTACCGTGTGTATTCGGTTTTTAACACAATACATTTGAAGTATATTTGGAGAATTTCCTGAACACAGGAAGTAAAGCTGTCTCTCTAATTTGGGATTTGATGGCTCACAATAGGGAAAAGCAGAGGCGGTGTGAACATCTTCTAATAAGAAACAGCAAGCAGATGGTGACAAAACATTCCCAGAGGAAGGCTCAGACGTCGCAGATATGGGCTCTGAAGCCCAAGATGGACTCTTGATCTCACCTTGGTCATTGGTACAACCTCAAGAAAGCTGGGTCCTTGAGGCAGTTCCGTCAGCGTCCATTTGACTCACTCCTAACATACAGCTTAGCAATTTCACAAATAATACTTTGGGAGGAATAAGCAAATTGTAGCCTTAGTGCGATACGTATTCGCTTCCACTCTTCAGCAGGCAGTTCTCCAGGTGAGACAACAGTGTTACTCACTCCAGTTAGCTGCTCCATTTGCTTTGCTCTTGTCCAGCAGTTCTCAACCTGTGGGTCACGACCCCTTTGGGGGTCGAATGCCCCTTTCACAGGGGTCACCCAATTCATCACAGTAGCAAAATTATAGTTATGAAGTAGCAACAAAAATAATGTTATGGTTGGGGGCGTCACCACAACATGAGGAGCTGTATCAAGGGTCGCGGCATCTTCGATGCTTTCACAGCATGTTCTGCTTCCCTGGGTTGGAAGTGGTTGGCACTGTGAGCACATCGTGGAGATTTCAAAACCTCCTGCCAGGGGAATTCAGCGCAAGTCCCTCCGGTACTGAAGACACCCATCAAGTCTTCGGTCACATCGGAGAGTTGCATGGGAAAGAGTGAACTGACACGAGAGAGGGCTGCCTTGCAGAAAGCGGCCAGGCTCCTTCTCTACATATTCCTGGTTCCCCGGCCCCGGGAGCGGGGCAGGATCTGTGCGGAACGGTAGAGACTTGGCTAAAGATGATGACCGTACCTTATCTCGAATTATTTTAGTCAGCATTCTTGTATCCACTCCATAAATTGCAGGAATCTAGAGAAAAAAAATTATAGTGATGGTGAAATTGGAGGAAATTAGATACAGCATATTGTTTTCAAGTTACAAACCTCGCCTCATCTATCTTCTTGAGCAGTAAATAATTTCCCCACTCCTTCATGGCTCTGACCCAGGGTGACTGTGTTGTCAGAACACGGTAAATTGCTGCTCCGCTCGGGCACGAGACTCTTTATACCAAGGTCCTTACGAGGAGTAAAAGATAAAAAATTTGGAACATCAATCTTCCGCGATAGCAGTTTTGTTGCTTTGAGTTCAGGGTGTTAAATAAGTAGCCATATATACATATGGATTTGCAATCATGGGATGTGTGAACTTCATAAGTAATCATATGTAAATTGTATGCACATCCATGTGTTGAGCCAAATGTTCCTGGCATATATGGACATTCCACAAATACAGGCTGTCCCTGGATTAAGAAGGACTTACAGACAGCCCCTGCCTGTCTTTCCAGGCTACGTAAATTTGCCCTCACTTTGAAATGCTTGGACCAACCCGACTCACAACAATCCTGCAGCACCCTCCGCTCGCTTCACTCGCTGCAGTGCAAGGGTTAAGCCATTGCGAAGGCTTTGGCCCTTTTTGAAAGAATGGAGACCAAGGCCTTTGAGTGGGTACCAACGTATAGCCCCCACATAGAAGAGAGTGGAACGGCCTAGCTCTGTAGACGTTCGCCTTTACACTCCTGTGGCGTAGCTGGGAGGCTGCAACCGCCAACCTTTGGGTTAGCGGCCAAGTGCATGATCACTGCACCCGTGGAAAGCTAAAATCAGAATCTTCTGTACTTAGACTGAATTCCTACAACATTTTAAAGATACAGGCGCAGGAATTGGTACCCGAGGGGCGGACTGCCTGTATCTCGGCAGGGTGGTTGAGTAGCTGGACTACACTCAAGCTTGCCAGCCTGCTAGTGGAGGCGGCACCACCGTGACTTGCTTCACTTTCTTTGACGAGGTTGGCGACAGACAGGTGGCATCTACTGGAAGAGCACTGCGTTACCAAGCAGCAAACCTGCTTCGAGTCGCTGCTCTGCTCCCCACCAGGGGATTGAGGTGCTTGTCCTCCCTCGTGTGTAAACAGTTGAGGCTGAAATAGTTATTATCTTGGATCCTTTTCTATGCTTCTGTGATGATGGAGCGATATTTAAAATACATCTTTTAGAAGGTAAACTAACAATGGATACAACGTTTACCAATAAGGAGAGCATGAGTTAGACTCGGGATTGGATCTCCCGAGACTGAGTGCGCACCGGCTTTTTGTGCTTTACTTCGTTAATCTGGGGGAACAACTTTACCATGCCTCCACCATATCCACAATTCTGTTGGCTGGCATCTGTCTCTCTCCCAACCCCAGAGCACCTTCCTGGAGAATCATTGCCTCTTTTCAAATTTACACTCCCTTGGCAGGGACATCGTGCCCAGGAAACAAGGTAAGCATGGGTTTGCATGTGCTTACTTACTAATTTCTCAAAGATGGGGTAAAACCTAAGTGCAACTGCCACAAAGCAGTTAATAAATTAATGCTTAATTTGCTTATTGGGCAATCTGTTCCTGGTTAGATTTATACAAAAGCTATTAGGTCTGAAATTGATCAGCGATCATGTCATATGTTCTAGATAACACAGAGAAACATTGAAATTATAATATGACAAAATAAAGAGTCTCCTGAATGACCACTATAGGAATTAACTGTCTTGGTAATGGAGTGAGTTCAGTAATGATTCTGAGAAAATAATAATGTCCCAGTAAATGATGCAGTCTTCTCTTTTCAAGATTTCGAAAGAAGAAGAACCAGGAAGCCAAGATCAAAGTATGAAGATCTGACCAGAAGAAGCAATACTTAGCTCCAGTGCATGATATACATGGGCACCTACTGGAGAGACAGTTTTCCTAGAACAATGTCCTGTCAATTACAGGATCAGCAGCAATTCTGCAAAAATCAACCAGAGGAAGTAAAATCTAGCAAGTCAATTCACTTAAGCTCTTCTAATGCTCAGATCAAAAGAATCTTCTTATTTAATTAAAAACTAATACTTTGATTAATAAAAGTACAGGCTTGGTGAAGTCTTACTCATTATTCCAAATGATCATAGCTAATCGTACCCCATATAATCATAATGTTTATCCCAAACAGTCATAATTTGTTTGTGCTCATAAGCACTAATGTTGAAGAAAGTGTAGTCTGGACTATTGCATGATCTACATAGCCTCACTAGAACCCAGGAAGCACGCTGTAAACATAAATCCTGTTTAAAGGAGTGGAGCTTTAGACTGCCCAACGGAGTAACTGCACCATTCTGAACATTTCTGTACCGGGTGACCAGATGAGAATGCTACCAAGTATGTAAGAGTGTCACCTAGTGGTCAAACTGAGAATACAGGGGACTCGGGGGTGGAACAAGGTTGAATCCAGATAGTAAACCTATAAAGGAAGAAGGAATTGCTCTCGAAAAGAGAGGTCCCAAATGAAAGAGTAATAACAAAATTAAGCATTTGTATTTATCAGTTATGAATCAAAAACGGCATGATCGGTCTTATCTTCTAGGCCCTTTCGAATCTACATACACTTCCCGTCTTTCCAAGCGCTACACCGTGTCTCTCACCTTCTCTTCCTGGAGCCACTGCCCCAGACTCTTGGCGGCCAGCCAGTGGTTGTACTCGTCACTGTAGTTCAGAACCAGCAAACCTGCCACCTGCAAAGGCAAACGGTTAGCTTGAAGGGGTGATCCCCAGATATTACCCAACTCTTGTGCCTTACCCTGAGATTCTATTTGTGGTTGTAAAGGCTTTATTGCAATCACTGAGACAAAGCTAAAACTGATGGAGATCTAAAGAAAGACAGGTGAGCAACCTTGATTATATATATTGCTTTAACCTTCTTATGGGGGAGGAGGTTTGTCTGGTTTGCTGGGTTCCCAAGCTAAGTGAGCTAAGGTAGACTTCTTGGCACCTTGTACTTTTCCTTTATGAGATTTTTCAATAATGCATTTAAGACTCCGTTTTTTACGTGCATGAAGAATAACTTTTTAAATGTATTGCTACAAAAGGGAGCCCTGGTAACATAACAGGTTAGGAATTGAGATGTTAACCACAAGGTCAGGAGTTCAAGCCCACCAGCCTCTCCTCAGGAGAAAATTGAGGCTGTCTTCTCCCATAGAGATTGACAGCTTCGGAAACCTGTAAGGAATGGTTCTACTCTGTCCTACAGGGTTGGCCACTGGAAGTTGGAATCAATTGAATGGCGGTGGGTTGGGTTGGGTTTGAGGTCAATTACAGGATGCTAAGCAATTTGAGAATAATTTTGGGAAATACTGAGAGCTGAATTAAATGATCAGTCAAAAGTAGATTGGTGAAAAGCAAAAAGAGTGGGAGTTTGGAGTATAATTTTTTCAGAATTGTTTATATGATGATACCCAAGTTGATCTTGACAAGAAAAACATATTGTGTTTACTTTTAAACAGTTATGAGTTATTGTTTA